CTTGCTAGCTAAAGATTTAACTTGCTAGCTATATATTTAACTTGCTAGCTAAATATTTAAGTTGCATCCTAAATATTTAGGTATATAGCTAAGTATTTAAGTTAAATGTTTAGGTGGCTAGCTAAATATTTAACTTGCTAGATAAATATTTAACTTGCAACCAAAATATTTAGGTATCTAGCTAAGTTTTTAAGTTAAATATTTAGGTGGCTAGCTAAACATTCAACTTAAATATTTAACTTGCTAGCTAAAGATTTAAGTTGCAACCTAAATATTTAGGTATCTAGCTAAGTATTTAAGTTAAACATTTAGGTGGCTAGCTAAATATTTAACTTGCTAGCTAAATATTTATGTTGACAAGCAAGATCTCGCGAGAACTTGTGCGTAAGTAAATGGTGGAAAACAGGTAAAGATAATTCTCTCAGGTAAAACTACATAATATCCATACATAAAGTTAATTCGTCCTAAGCATTACTAACCTTTCCATTTTAACAAACAAACTGGACGAAGAATCCTTGGAGAGTCTGGAGTTTTTTTGTTGACCAGTGCTTTGAAAGAATCGTTACGGGCAAAATAGCTAACATCTGCAGCTAGCTCAATGGCTAACACCCCGCTAGCGAAACGTAACCGTTCTGAGGGCTCCGACAACACTACATCTCCAGATAAAACAAGCTTCACAGATATCTGGAGCAGAAGCTAACCAGCTTGGATGGCAGACTCCCACAAGGAATCCCAGCATCTGAGGGAGTCTGTAGAGTTTARCCAACAACAGGTAACTTCGCTTGATAAAGAAAACAACCAGCTGAGGGAGTCGGTCAAAGACCTCACMGAGGAGATGACACGGCTATCCGGAGAGCAAAAAAAGGATGAGGGAGTCCATCCTGGACATGCGGGACAACCTCGTCTTTTCGGGGATCCCAGAACAAGCGGAGGAGGACCTGGGGGAATCGATCCGTGACTTCATCGAGAAAAAGCGGAACTTTCCACGAGACACGGTGAACAAGACCAAGTCTGACCGAGGACATCGACTGGGAGGTGAACAGGAAACCACCGCGGCCAGTTAAAGCTAAACCTGAGCATCATAAACAAAAAGAGCCAGTTAAGAGCCGAGGTCATTTATAATTTACACCCAGTCCACTCACCAGCTTCCCTTCAGAGACAAACTTATCTGTTCCAGCAGCACCCGGATCGGATCAGAACCTGCAGTTCTGTGGAGAGACGGCTCCACTTTGGACCAGAACCCATCTCAGTGCTGTCAGCCTGACTCCAGGTATGGTTACCATCATCATCATCATCATCACATCCTGCACCTACACACCATCATCATCATCATCATCATCATCATCATCATCATCATCATCATCATCATCCTCCAGCCCACAAACTTCCAGCAGGTCCAAATCTGCTGCTTATGTAAGCAGAGGAGAGATCAGTGACCAAAAGCTGCTCAACACTTTATTTATTTATTTGTTTATTTATTAATTTATTGTTTGTTTGTTTGTTTGTTTGTGTTTCCTGAGCACTTGGATCATGCAGGAGCATAAATCCAGGTCCAGGAGCTCAGCTGAGTCAGCTCTGGACTCATGTTGGAGTAAAATGTTTGCAAATCGACCAAAAAAAATCAATAAATTCAGTGAAAAATGACAGAAAATCTAAGAAACGACAATTTAAAAATCAGATTTTGATCATCTGAAGAGGATTTCAGGCAGAAATCCTGGTTTAATCCTGGTTTAATCCTGGTTTAATCCTGGTTTAATCCTGGCTTAATCCTGAACAAGCATCGACTCCTCTCAGTCACCAAACGCCTGTTTAAACCGCATCAGTTCATCTTTTATGAAAACCCAGAGGTCCGGATGGCCCATTTCCATCCGAACCCCCACAAAACTGCAGCGATGAGCTGGTACCGGCTCTATCAGTTCTCACAGACCCGGTTCTGATCCGCGCGGATTCTGTTGACCTGAATAAACAGATGCTTGTTTCTCAGCCCGGCTGCGCGCCGCGGAACCGACGAGAAGCCGGCGGCGTCCTACCGGAGAGACGGGTCCAGCAGAGACAGGGGTGGGGGCCTCCAGAACACCCTCCTCCGGGGACGGATCCAACAGGGTCCTGTGAGGTTCGGCTCGGCTCGGTTCGGTCCGCGCGCAGAGGAGCGATCAGAGCGGCTCTCCGGTGCAGAGTGTGCTGTCAGCCTGGCGCTGGAAACCAACCCACTACTTCCTGTCACACACACACACACACACACACACACACACACACACACAC